CACTTGGCTAGTAAAAGAAGACAGAGTCTTGTGAGCTCTTTGGGAAAGCATAGGAAAGAAGACCATAACGCCGATTTTGACATAAGATGCACAATTCTAGCGTTGGAAGAAAATATCTCTTCTCGGAAAGCCTTAGCCTCTTGGATACTTGCGCGAATACCTAAAATGAACAGCAGGAATGGGCATCTATCTATTACAAATGATCTACAGCCGTTTCTGTCATTCTGCCATCGCTGAGATTGCCTGCCATTATTTAAGCGCGTTCAGGTCATCTTGAACCGCCTAGTACAATCATCATCATAAGCAGGCAGACGTTTTAAATTAGCTCTTGCTAAGGAGGGTGAAACACTTGGTGAGTTGATTCGATTCTGAATCAGCTTCGGTCATAATGGATGATTCGAATATACAAGATGGAGGAGGGTTTGGTGGGTTGGAACGTGTGATAAAAGGTGAATGAAACACTTTCAGGTCTCTGAAGGCGTTGTGCCGAAACGTTGGGCTTCGAAATAAAGTGTTTCACTAACTGTAACGGCATAAAAAAGAGCAGGATAGACATCTAACGTTGTCATTGGGGTGATTGCCAATGTTGACCTGACGCAGAACTACATTGGTCAAGCATAACTTCCAATTAGCGAAAGTTTTTAATTGGGAGAGATTGCGACTGCTCAAATTGTTCCCAAAATAACTTTGAAATATGACTGCTTTTGTGACTCTTCAAAAGGAATTGTATTCTAGACTTTTTTCCGAGCAATCTATCAAACGCAAACAAGATCTCAAATAATTTTAAGAACTTCCTTTATGGTACGCAATACCGCATTGGATGTAGCAGTGCCTAAATAATATTCACTATTGAGTCTACTCCACTACTCAAAAAGTTGTTTCAACTACATAATACGCGGGATTACATTTTTCAGATGCTCGTGTGCCTTATTTGTTTGGCTGCTTATGCCACGACGTCCAATGCAATCTCGATTGGTAAGTGCATTGCGTCCACAGTTAGAGCACTTTAATAAAGAAGTATACTGCAAATTATGGACACCTTTGGCAATTGCTATTGGTGTTATAAAGGCGTTAAGGGTTTAAAGCGAGTGTCAGAAGCTTTGCAAGTCAGCTAATTGTTAACATAAAAGCGGAGGCCCTCAGATGGTTGGGAAGATGTACATGCTCTAGAGTAAAGGCTCGAGAATTTCCTCAGCTTCAAGAAGCATCTTACAGCTGACTTCAAAGCACGTCCAATCCCCGAATTTGCAAAACATTTGAGAGGACAAGCTTTAGTCGACTACGTAAATAAAGCCCAACCATTTTTTAAGGTAATGGTTAGAGATAATGTTATATTTAGGCCATTACTTTGTTTTGTCTTTACTCCTCATCTGACATTAATTAATACGCAACTATTTAAGGCAAAGCTTCCCTCGATGTCCTATGAACAGCTCAAGTATAGAATAATGGATTGGAAGTATATAGAAACATCTGATCCAATGATAAGAGGCAAAGCCCCTGAAATCGAAACGGAAATTCCAGAAAGGTAATAGAAATGCTGACAAAAGTTGATTGCAAATGGGCTTTTAAATGTTCTAGAACGTACTACCTAGCTACAAATTCATTCGAAGGTTTTTAAGCTTCGATGCTCGAGAGAAGTGGCCAAACTGTCAG